TTGGGCTGGGCTTGGGGAAAATTTTTCAAAATTATTATGAGCTTGGACGCTTGAGAATTTTTTTATTAATAACTATGGGTCAGACATGGCCTAAAACAAATTTTTTTGCAGACCTGGGCTCGGCCTGATCAAAAAATCAAGGCCCATTAAAATCTGATTTTGATTGTATTTTTAAATTCATTATGATTATTTAAATATTTTACTTCAGTTCTTAACTACCAAAGTTAATTGTGCTTGGAAGAATTTATTAAAATTATTAAGGCTTTGTACTTTGCCTGGGAATTATTTTATATTAAATACTAGGTATAAGTAGACCTGTACGCCGATAAAACTATCAGCGGCCGGGGTAATTTTTAAAAATCTAATCGACTACCGGCGGCGCGCCACTTTTTAGCCGCCGTCAACAAAATCGGCGTAAATGGGCGCAGTTATAAATTTTTATAACATAAATTTTTAATTGTTTAATAATTTTAAAAAAAAACAAATATACACTACTCTACAGATATCTTGGCATATTTTTTAATATTTATTTAATAGTACACTCATTATAAATTCAAAATCGATTTCGTAATTTTATAATTATGTATAAAAATTATTTTATTTAAATTCGGGACATAATGACGATCTCGTTGAATTTAATGTCAATCCAGCGGTAAAGAAAACTTTTTCACTAAATGTGCTAGTCGCCGGAATGCAAAGAATTTTTTTGGCGAGCCTGGAAAGATTGGGAAGTTCACTCTTCTTTTCTCTTCAAAAATTTAGAACGTCCACATCTCGTGAATGTCATTTTCCAAGAAAACTGTGGCATTCCTGTTCTAAGTCACTTAACTTGGAATCATAATTTATATATTTTGAATGTTTATTTGCCAATTTTGTCAAATAACTTGAATTTAATAATTTCTTTTGATCCTCATTAGCTATATTTACTACCTGATTATCATCATTCTCTATAAGTTTAAGATGTTTTATTATAAATTCGAAGCTGAGCAATTTTGCTCTATTAAATACTTTGACACAATTGCAATTTTTGAATTCTAGGATCTAAAAGAGAAGCCAACCTAGATAATTAAAAAATAAAAGAATATACTTATATATTATTACTTGTAGATTACAAACAGGAAATAGTAACGCAAGTTTATTTAACATATTATCCTTAAGTGAAATGATTTCAGAACTATCACTATCATTTACTATTAAATGTGTTTCATTTTCACTTCAAAAAAGTGAAGCCAAGTTTAAAATAGGCCTTTTTTGTACTGATAGAAATTCGACAGTTTCTTTAAATTTTGGAAATGCTAATAGTTCTTCTACCAGATCAAATTCATAGTTTGATAATTTGAGAAAGTGCTTCCCAATTCTTTTCAAAACATTATTAATTAAATTCTTATTTAATCCAGATATGCTTTCTAGCATAATTAATATACTAGGCCAATGTGTTGGAACATTTAATTTTAAGGTTTTCATATGCGTGGAATTATTATTATTATAATTGAAATTGCCAATTTGAAAACGGGTATCTGGGTATGGATCAGTGTTGTCAAGTTCTAACATGTCTGGTGTTAAATCTATTGTACTTAGGCATTTTCTTTGATCTGCCTCGAATTCAAATTCAACCTCTGCAGTTTTATATCTTAGAGCAGTTATATTTCTCTAATTCTTTTGATGAGATTTTCAACAAAGGGTACCTTTTTAATAGCATCTACTGTAACCAGATTGTGTAAACCATGACCCAAACATAAGTGGTGTTCATATTCACCTAATCGAACACCTTTTCTAACATTAGGCCCAGCTTCTGCGACCATTTGTATTTTTTTCTTTTTTAAATTAAATTCCTCTTCCATTTTATGAATCTTAGTTAGAATAGTCTCAGCTGTTGTTTTGGGGTTATGAGTTGCTAAAGTAAAATAAACCATTTCAAAATTATCATTTATTAAATGAAGTGTAAATGCAATATAGTTCTTCTTATTCTTTATTGATGTGTCCACATATCAAATGTAATTGAGTAAAATTTTGGCCCTGAGTTAATTTGTTCTTGTACATGTGCTTTCATTGATAGGTAAACATCATTAAGAGCAGTACGGCTTAATGTTGTCCTGTCTGGCAAATCAGAATTAAAATTGATAACTTGATATTTATAAAATAAGCATTTTGAAATTTATAACAGAAAATCATTATATCTTTAATTTATATTAGACAACAAATTAGGGAGAATTTATCAAGAAGAGATAAATTTGTTAAAAATTTATTATGGGTTGCAAAGCTACACAAAAACAGAGATGATTAAAACAAATGAATATACAATTATCCAATATTATTTAAATCATATATGTCTATGTGTAATCATATTGTTAGCATGGCTATAAAATTCAACTATTGTAAATCTTCCTTAGTGGGCAATGCTATTTCAATAGAACAAAAAAGACATAAAGGTAGATCTATTATTATAATAGATACTATATCTATAAATTTGATACCTTCAAAAAATCTTTCATTCTTATATTATCAATTGATTGAAAAGGTAATAAGTCAGCACAACATAATAACACATAATTTCTTGCTAGAAGCCAATTTTTAAAGGTTTTAGAATTTGTCTAGATATAAAATATTTTTTTAAATCTTGCGATTTTGATGAAGAATCTGCTTTAATATTATGTATAGCAGAAGTCAAGTGTTTTAGCAAATTTCCTGTGGTAAAATTTATTGTAAAGTTTGAAATTTTATAGCTAGATTATATTTTACAAAAAATATTTTTTAATTTATTAAAGATTTTGGCTATATATGAGAAAATAATATTTTAAAAAATATACTGTGAAAATGGCTTATTTGAATCATCATCGCCTCCAATAGCCTTTTCTTAGCAACAATTGTAGTAAAATTTTTCAGAATTTATGAAAATTGTTTTATTATCTCTTTTTAAGTGTAAGTAACCAAAAAATTTAATGACGTCAATATAATTATAATTTTAAAATAGTAGAAAATAAAAATTCATCAAAATCCTGATTGACATTAAAAAAATTACAACAATGATGTTGACCAATTATTAGAATAAAAAGGCATAAAATATGAAAGTAATTTCTGCGCCAGCCGTGTGCCGCCGATATGTAAATCGGCGACGCGCCCGTGTGATTTTTAAAAGGCGGTGTTATCGGCGTAACCAAAAAAAGGTCGGCGGCCGGCCAACGGCCGGGCAGCGCACAGGTCATATGTAATTAGTAATATTTAGCAAATAATATTGATATTATCAAGTAAAAGCTTTCAATTTATTTTTACTCAAACCATAGTATTTACACTAAGTTTTAATGGAGTGAACCTAGCCTGAAGGGGGGAGGGGAAAAGAATAATAATTGGATATTATTTTCAAATAACAGGTAACAACTCATAAAACTAAGAAGAAAATTCTGATTCCTGACGGGATATCTACCACTCTATTATAATAATCCTCAAAAACGTCAATCAAATTTTGCAATAGTGTTTTTTAAAAAAATATATCCAATAAAATGATTTTAGCGTAATCGGTCCAATGGTAATCACTACACAAAATGATCATTCATACATATACAATGCTACATTTATACAATGCCACAATATCTATTACATATTATCATATTCTTATACCATCTTCTATTATATATTAATTAATTAATTTTTTAAGGTTAGATAATATAAAAAGATAAAGAGAGAACAAAAGAAGGAGATCACGTCAAAATCTAAATTATTTAAAACAAACCTATTATATTCCTAATTTTACCTTTATTTAATAATAATATTATATACCAGAGCTTCTTTGATATACTGAAAGATACTGGGTTGGTGAGTGAGAGGGTTAAAAATATTTTTAAAACAATGGGCAGGTGAATTTGATTTCTATTTAGTTTAAATTTATAGTTAAGATTTAAAATCACATTTGATTCATGTTGATTTTAGCTAAATTATTTGACATTTTTTATATCAACTTATAATAATATTTATATTCATAAAAACAAACCAAATGTATTTCAGGCAAAATGAGGAACTGATTCCTATTTAGTTAAAATTTAAAATTATATCTGATTCATTTTGATTTTAACTAAATTATTTGATTTTTTATAGGTATTGGTTTAATTATCCAAAGTTGTAAGTTAAGAATTTAAATCACATCTGATTCAATTTTTTATAGGTATTGATTAAATTATCCTAGATTTTAAAATATTTATGACTTCAACTTATAATAATATTTATATTCATAAAAACAAACCAAATAAAAAATTTTAATTTATGTTAACAAATATTTAATTTTTTTTAAAATTAGATTCCACCACTGATACTACCAAATCCTTACAATTCAAACAAATCTTAATTTACCCAAATCACTAAAAACTAACCAAGTTAACATTTTAATTTATGTTAAATTAGATTCCATGACTGATACTACCAAAACATATCATTCAGACAAATCTTAATCTGCCAAAATCAATAAAAACAAACCAAGTTAAAAATTTTAATTTATGTTAACAAATATTTTAATTTTTTTAAAATTAGATTCCACAACTGATACTTCCAAAACCTACCATTCAGACAAATCTTAATCTAACCAAATCAATAAAAACATATCAGGTTTTTTAATTTATGTTAACAATTCTCATTTCATTATAATTTTGCCGGTCAAAATGATATATATAATTAGTAAGTGCTACAGAATCGTAATTGCCGAGTAGGAATATTTAAAAAAATATATTATAGTCCTGGCATATGTTTATAACATAGCCGTCCGTGACTATAGGTCTCTAAGCTGTTTTAATTATAAAAATATTCAATTATAAGTATAATTTTTAGCAGGCCTCAGATTTATTTTATTTACATAAGTACTAAATTATTATTACAATTTATATTATATATTTTAGATAGATATTCCTTCACAACAATCATTAGTACAAGAACATTAATGTGGCTTGCTCAACACTAAGTGCGAATATTGTGATTCTCTAAAAAAAAAATTTGAAAAACCCTCCGATGGCAGATTCAAGAATTGCTGTCATAAGGGTAAAGTAAGATACCATCAATTAGATATATTCCTTTTTTACAAGACCATTTATCAATTCCTAACAATGAATTTCATTCAAACTTTATGAAACATATTCATTCTATAATAGTTCTCTTGCGTTTGCATCGATGGTGCGGAGATTTCTAATAGTTTGAACCAGGGCCCATATTGTTTTAGAGTTCATGGGCAAATTTATCACAGGGCATCTCATTTATGTCCTCCCATTGGGATGTCTCCCAAGTTTGCACGATATGTCCTTGAGACTACACAGGCTGTTAATATCAGATTACATATGAAAGAAAATTCAGGATGCAATGAGGATCTCTTGAAAAGATTATTTTAGTAAAACAGAACAACGCATTTTCTATTAGTTTTAAAACTTTGGGAGAAATTGAGAAAGAAGAAAATAATAGAGCCTTTTGAGAAAATCGTCCTATTCAAAAAATCAATATGATCTTTCGTGCAGATCGCTCAAGTGACAAGCGAAGATACAACATCCCTAATATAGTTGAAGTTGCTATTGTTTTTACTAATGATGATGGTGAACCCCATTTAAACGGGATATCAAAGTCTATCCTCGATTTGATGGTAGTGATCTCATAAATATAAATATATTAAGTCCTAATCTTGATCCAATGGTATATTGTTTATTATTTTCTGTGACCCTGTTGGAAACGAGATTTGAAGGGTGAAGGTACAGTTCGTACAAGGGAAAATATCTCACTATTATAATTTAAAATATTTAGATTAGCAAATCGTGAAAATGAATTCAACCCAATCCTTTTTGTTGGGAAATTATCACAACAATATATTGTTGATACTTATTTACGAGTAGAGGCAAATAATTTAAATTTTAATAGACAAAATCATCCAAAATTACGAGTAGATGAATATTCTGGATTAATGGACTACTTAGAAACAACAAATAATATAATTCCCGGTAAAGCAGTAATACTACCATCATCTTTTCAAGGTTCTCAAAGAAATATGCGAGAACGATATCACGATACAATGGTTATTGCGCTCAAATTTGGTAAACCTGATTTGCGCAAAATTGAGGAAAATCTATTTCCTGGGCAAAGTCCTTCATATAGACCAAATTTAATAGCTCGTGTTTTTAAATATAAATTAAATGAATTATTGTTTGATATAAAGAAAAAAATATATATTTGGTAAATCCATGGCTTTTATATATACAATCGAGTTCCAAAAAAGAGGATTGCCTCATGCCCATATTCTTATTATTTTAAACGAGGATAGTAAAATTGAAACATCTCAAGCTATAGTAAATTTGTTTGTGCCAAAATGCCAGATAAAATTCTCGAACCTAAACTTTTTCAGATTGTTACCCATTTTATGATACACGGTCCTTGCGGGATATTTAACCCCAAATTGCCTTGCATAGAAAATGGCATATTTATAAAAAAAATTTCCTAAGGATTTTCAATTAGAAACAAGACCAAATATTGATGGGTATCCATATTATAAAAGGTGAGATAATGGTATTACAATTCTTTCTGGTAAACCTACGGGTAATCGCTATGTTATTTCAATCGATATCTAATGTTAAAATTTAATGCTCATATTAACGTAGAAATTTGTACGTCTATTAAATCAGTAAAATATATCTTAAAGTATATTTATTAGGGCTATGACTGTACTAATGTTGATATTAATATTGCTTCAAATATAAATATTCATGACGAAATTAAATCACATTTAAATGCGCGATATGTGAGTGCATGCGAATCAATGTGGAGATTATTAGAAAATAATATGCATGATCGCTCGCACGCTGTTATTCGCTTAGGAATTCATTAACCTTTACAATAGCCAATATATTTCTCAGCTGAACATGAAAAAGTTGCTTTAGTGAGATCACAAAACAAACATATTACTTTAACGGCATGGTTTGAGTTAAATCAGACAGATCTAAATGCTAGACAATATCTTTAAGGGGAAATTCCTTATCATTATGTGTTTACAAATTACCGATGGAAATAAAGAAAAAAACTGATAAATGTCATTTCGAGAATGTATTCTGTTCATTCTAATTCTGGTGAACGATTTTTCCTTCGATTATCACTACTTCATGTTTGCGGTACGAGTTTTGTTAATTTAAACTATTAATGGAATTTTAATGAGTACTTCTAAGGAAGCAGCTATTAAAATAAATTTGTTATCAGATGATAAAGAGTGGGAATCATGCTTAGAAGAGGGATCAGTATATCAAATTTCGTCACAACTTCGTAGTACTTTTGCCTTTATCTGCCATTTTTGTCTGCCTGAAAATCCTGCTTATCTTTGGAATAAATTCAGATTTACAATGATTGAGTATTATTTGCATAATATTCAGAAGTAATTGCAATTAACATGGCTTTAATGGACATTGAAAACGTTTTTCTTGATCATGGTTTATGTTGTAAAAGTTGTGATTTTCCTTCACCTTCAAAAATTCCCCCAAAACAATATTATGATGTCCATGTTGAAGCTGCCGATTCAATCGAGCGTATATCGAAATTAAAACTATTACAAAAATATTCTTTTGACTTAATTATACAAGCGATTAAATTAAAAAATATTTCAGAAAGATATTTCTTCATGGATAACCCTGGGGGTTCAGGAAAAACCTATCTTTACAATACCTTAATGTGTTATATAAGAACAAATAATCAAATTGTATTGCCTTTTGCAACAACCTAAATATCCTCTATTCTTTTAAAGGGGGGGGGCATCTATATCGGATTTAAATTACCTGTGCCTATCTTTGAAACCTCTACATCCCATATGAATATACATAGTTCGCAACCACTAGATCTAAAAAATGAAAATTGATTATTATTGATGAGGCCATAATGATGACTAAACACGCTTTGCGATCATTTGGAGGAAAAGTTATTTTATTAGGTGGTGATTTTAGACAGACTTTACTAGTAGTGCCAAAAGGCGCCAAAGTCGCTATTATAGAGTCTTATATAAAAAGTTTAGATTTATGAAGTCATTTTAAAATAATACATTTGATTGATAATATGCGTATACCATCAGAGCAAGTTGATTACAATGCTTGGTTACTTAAAATTGGAGAAGGCCTTTCAAGCACTAATTCTGATCTTCCTACAAATAGTGTTGAATCCTACCTTATTTGCTTGAAAATGATTTATTAATAAAATGTGTATATGGTTTTTATCGAAATTGTTGATATAGAAGATCTTCCTACTAAAATAATATTAACCAGCAAAAATAAAATTACATTTATCCTCAACAATGACATCATTAATATAATTTCAGGCTCTATCAAACATTATTTTAGTGCTGATTCCATTGAAAGCGATAATCAGGATGATATAATGAATTTTTCTATAGAGGTTGGTGCAATTGTTATGCTTTTACGTAATTTGACCCCAAACAAAGGACTTAGTAATGGTACCCGCTTAATCATACATTTACATATTAATTTTATCGATGTTGAGGTATTGACAAGCACAGATCTAACTCTAAGTGTCTCTCAGTTGCCATTTACTTTAAAAAGACGCCAGTTTCCTATAATTCCAGCTTTTGTTATTATAATAAATAAAAGTCAAGGACAAACTTTTGAACATGTAGGCTTATTTCTCCCTGAGCCCGTCTTTGCCCATGGGCAATTATATGTAGCTCTTACTAGATGTAAATCTCAAAATAATATGAAAATCATGATTGCCATCAGAATTACAAGGGAATATTTTAAAAAATGATAAAACATTCACACAAAATATCGTATATAATGTAATCTTGAATTGATAATTTGTAAAATTTAAAATAGTCACCAATTGTTGTTATTTACAATCAAATCAACAACATTTGTTATTCAGCATCCATTCAACAACAGTAGATTCTATTTTATAATTTATATTTACACGCTTTATTTCAGGTTATTTACAAAAAGCTACGAGTAAGGAATCAAAAACGACACCACATAGAGCAAAGAAAGCTTCCTCACCCTTAAAGACACGACACCATCTTCATCATCAACAACAGAGTTTCTATTTTGTAATTTATATTTACACGCTTTATTTCAGGTTATTTAGAGCAACGAATCAAAAACGACGCCACATAGAGCAAAGAAAGCTTCTACACCCTCAAAGACACCACAATATTTTCATCATCAACAACAGTAGATTCTATTTTATAATTTATATTTACATGCATTATTTCAGGTTATTTACAGCAAACTACGAGCAAGGAATCAAAACGACACCACATAAAGTAAAGAAAGCTTCCTCACTCTCAAAGACACGACACCATCTTCATCATCAACAACAGTAAATTCTATTTTATAATTAATATTTACACGCTTTATTTTAGGTTATTTAGAGCAGTGAATCAAAAATGACACCACATAGAGCAAAGAAAGCTCACCCTCAAAGACACGACACTATCTTCATCATCAACAACAGTAGATTCTATTTTGTAATTTATATGAGCAAAGCAAAAAAAATTTAAAGGCAATATACGGTGATATACCCAATGCTTAAAAATCTTACCTCCCTCTCAACTTTGAAAAAAAATTTAAATCTCCTTTTTAAGTAAAATTTTAGATATTATAAATTTTATTGTATTATATTTTTTTATAAGGCGATAAATGCATATGTGCTGGAACACGATATTCGTCAGGTCTTGAAGTATAAGCAATTATTATATTTTCTTATAATTCATATCTTTATCTCTTTTTTCTATTTTTTCCTTCTTTTATTCATTTCTTTGCTCTCTTAAAATCCATCTCCTACTTTCACACGGTGGGGAGTAAACAGCAAACTAACAGGAGCTCTGGTGGATAATATTAGTATTTAGGGTGCTAATAAGTAACATTGTTTCCGTGTAAAAATCATCTTAACTATCATAAGATAGAAAATTTTTGATTCATCCATCAATGAAGGCAAAATTTATTATTCATCCATCATTGAGTATAGAAAAAAATTCTGATTTCCCGTCATTCTTGACGGGTTATGGGTTATTATCTAGTTATATATAAAATTAGAAATGTTATAGCAGTAAATTTGTAAAAAAATGGCAGCGGTATTCCCACCTATTACGAATTTTAAATTATAATTGTAATCCTTTAGTATATTTTACAAGTAATATCTTAAATTATCAATACTCTACTATAAACTACCAAAAAATTAAAAACCTGCTACCCATTTACGATAAATGTATCTTTTTTTTAAAATTGATCGTGTGCTATATTTTGACCTTGTTATATCTAACATTAAGCATTTATGTTGATGTGTTATATTATTTTTTAAATATATTTCTTTTTAGGTTAAAGTTTTTTAATTTTATATTATTTTTTAAATATACCTTTTAGAGATGATTTATTTTGATGTGTTATATTATTTTTTAAATATGAGATTTATCTTGATGTATATTATTTTTTAAATATATTTTTTTGAGATTTATTTTGATGTTCTATATTATTTTTAAATATATTTTTGAGATGATTTATTTTGTACTTTATATTATTTTTTAAATATATTACTTTGAAATGATTTATTTTAATGTGTTATATTATTTTTTAAATTTATTTTTTTGAGATATTATTTTATTGTGTTATAATATTTTAAATATATTTTTTAGAGATTATTTATTTTGGATGCGTTATATTGTTGTTTAAATTAATTTTTTAAGATGATTTTTATAAGACGATTTATTTTTTTTTTAAATATATCGCCGGGGTGGCCTAATGGGTAAGATGTAGGCTTGGAAACACGAGCATGAACAAGGACGCGGGTTCAATCCTGGTAAGAACCATAAAAACTTTCAAGTTTTTCTTCGATGACTGATGTGTACAGACATATGGTATGATGAATTTCGGAGCTTAGAGATGACACCCCGGTCACCGACAGGCCTGGACAGCCGGGTGCTAAGGATACCTGTCCAATAAACAAAATGAAGGACACAAATGAAAATATGAATATGAAAGCTAGGGCGTTCCCTCCATGCGACGCGCAGGGTGTAGACCTCCATCCTGTGAAAAGTAAATTAAAGGTTAAAGCAAAGAAAACAAGATTAGCAAGTTTGAATATTGGTGCACTTAAAGGTAAGACGAGAGAATTGGCATCAATGTTGAACAAGAGAAAAGTTGTTATAGCGTGCATACAAGAGACGAAATGGAAAGGACAGAAGACTTTGATGATTGGAGATGGGTATAAATTGTACTATAATGGACTTGTTAGCAATAGGAACGGTGTCGGCATCATCCTCAGTCAAGATCTAACCTCCTCAGTTGTAGAAGTCAACAGGATCTCTGATAGACTAATGAAGATAAAACTCTGCATTGGTCAATCAATACTACACATCCTATCAGTATATGCTCCTCAAACGGGTTGCAAGGAAGAAGAGAAAGATGACTTTAGAGCTATCCTTGATGAAGCCGTAATGGAAATCCCTAAGGATGACCTAGTCATAATTGGTGGTGACTTAAATGCGCATGTGGGGAAAGCAAGAGATAGCTACAAAAGGCATCATGGTGGTTTTGGATACGGAGAAAGAAATGATGAAGGAGAGCACGTACTGAAATTTGCGGAAGCCTTCGACCTTGCCTTAACCAACACAGTGGTACTAGGAAAACACAGATAGATACATGCTAATCTCTCGCAGAAGATTAAAAGATGTAATAGACTGCAAAGTCATCCCAGGAGAAGATATTGCCGCGCAACACAAGCTACTAATCATGGATTTACAAATCTCAAATAAATCCACTCAAAATAAGATAAAACTGGAACCATGCATCAAATGGGGCAAATTAAAAACAATGACAGATGCCTTTGCAATCAATGCAAACATTGAAACAATAAATTGCTCACAAGTCAGTGAAAAAATATGGACAGACCTTTCATCCAGATTAATAGACACTGCAAAATCGACGCTAGGCTTGACAAGAGGAGGCAACAAATCACACAAAGAACTATGGTGGTGGAATGAAGAGGTACAAACCACTATACAGGAGAAAAAAGCCCTTTATAAAATATGGTACAAATCCAAAAATAAATCCAAGAGATTAGCTACAAAGGCGGTGGCTAGGGTCAATCTATGGCATACGATGACATGTACGAAGATCTACATACCAAAGAAGGGCAAAATAAAATATACAGATTAGCCAAACAGCGAGAAAAGAACTCTAGGGATATAAACGGAGCTCCGAAAGTAATCAAAAATAAAGATGGGAAATTGATAATAAAGGAAAAAGAAATAATGAATAGATGGAAAGAATATTTTCAGGAGCTTCTCAACTTTAATTCCCACATATTGCATCTCGACGAACACTCCCCTTGTCAAAACCTTGTGCAACCTATAACAGAACAAGAAATAATCACATGCCTCAAGCATATGAAAAACAACAAAGCTAGGGGTCCAGACGATATTCCAATATAAAGCCTTAAAGCACTAGGAGATGATGGAATACATCTCCTCACAAATCTGTACAATAAAATACTTGGAAATGAAGAGGTCCCCCAAAAATGGAGGCAGAGCTATCTAGTTCCTATCTTCAAAAATAAAGGGGATCCACACAATTGTCAAAATTACAGGGGCATAAAACTAATGTCACACTGTCTAAAACTATACGAAAAAATAATAGAAAAAAGATTAAGAGATATAATAGAAATAGGAGAGACACAGTTTGGCTTTATGCCTGGAAGATCAACAACCGATGCTATCCATGCAATTAGGCAAATGAGTGAAAAATACAGGGAAAAGAACAAAAAGCTACACATGGTCTTTCTCGATCTAGAAAAGGCCTTTGATAGAATCCCAAGAAAACTTATCTGGTGGGCGCTACGCCACAAAAAAGTTCCCGAAAAATATATAAGAATAATAGAGGATATGTATGACATACAACAATGGTCCGTAAGCACAACAGGTACTTCAGCAGGCTTTACAATAGCCGAAGGAGTTCATCAAGGGTCGGCTCTCAGCCCACTTCTCTTCATTACAGTAATAGATTAGCACAGTCACCTCAAACAATCCCGTGGAATATGATATTTGCAGATGATATTGTGATACTTGCCGAATCCAAGGATGAAATGAAAGAAAGGTTAGTGAATTGGATAAATATCCTAGAAACGCACGGATTAAAAGTAAATAGAGAAAAGACGGAGTATATGGTGATAGGAGGAGATGAAACGGAGAGTATTGATATAAATGATTGGCAAGCTGCAAATATTTGGGCTCCACTATACAAACACGGCACAATAGAAAAAGAGATAAAGAATAAGATTAATCAATGGTTAAAGTGGAGATCTTTATCTGGAGTGCTATTTGACAAAAGAATCCCACACAAATTAAAGGGAAAAATTTACAGTTCCATAGTACAACCAACTATTCTATATAGTTCGGAAACATGGCCAACCAAAGAATCAGACGAGAGAAGTCTACAAACTATGGAGATGAGAATGCTGAGGATGATTGCTGGGGTAACAAGAAAGGATAAGGTGCGCAGTACAAGAATACTAAATAGTTTAAAGGTAGTGCCCATTAAGACTAAGTTAATGGTAAACAGACTTAGGTGGTATGGGCACACAATGAGAAGGCCTATGAACTACATAGGAAATAAAGTTGAAAGATTGGAAGTGATGGGCAAACGTAAAAGAGGAAGGCCAAAACTTCAATGGGGCCATAAAGTTAGAGCCAATATAAAGAAGTATAAAATAGATAAAAGAGATTGTACGAATAACATAAAGTGGAGAGAGATGTTGAAGGACCAGAAAAGGTGAAAGCTAAAGAGAAAAAAAAAAAAAAAAAAAAATATTTTTTTAAATATATTTTTTTGAGATGATTTGTTTTAATGCATCGAGATTCTGTTTTGAGAAAAATATCCCTGACCCATCAGCCCTAAATTTGCCCATTAAGGGAGAGATTGATCTATGAATAGACTTTTGATTAGCTATCAACTGATATCCTTTAAAAAATTGAATTCTTAAAGGGATCCCTTTAAATCCCGTGATGATCCCGGATAGTTCTAATGCTTTTGAAAATTACGACATATTATATACATCATAATTGTAATAAAATAATTTGATAAGGAAAAAATATTAATAAAAAAAATTTGATTGCAAAAGAGAAATAAATTAGGTGAAATTTAAAAAGAAAAATATAAGACGTAAAAAAATCATAAAAAATAAAAAGTTGTTAGGATGAAAAAACAAAATTGTTAAAAATAACATTAAAAAAGTGAAGTAAGAAAAATAACAGGGAAAATTAATATATTTTTAAAATGATAAAAAAATAGAATTTTCAAAAAGCGAAGATAAATAAATTGAGGAAAGGTAAGAAAAATAAAGATTAAAAATGACTAAAAGAGATTGCAAAAAGTTAGAAATAAAATAAGAAAAAGTAAAAATTTAAGAAAAATTGACAAGGAAAAGAATTGAAAATATTTTAACAAATAACGATTTTCCTTTTTTGATTGACACTTTTCCTTTTTTGATTAGGACTTTTCTTTTTTTGAATGGAAAATCCAGTATATAAATTTATTTTAATTAATTAATTGGGGAGACCAGAACTAGTCGGCGCAATTTTGATCACATCATAGGTCTTCTTATAATTCCTAATTATTGGTGATGATAACAATTTTGAAAATTGATAATAATAACAACGGAGGACAAGTAAGTTAACTAAATGAAATTACGATTTATGAAAACAACTTACGATAAGGATTACCAGCTAACGTTTTGGACAAACCAACGTACAAACTCAAATAAAGATTTGGATAAACCAGTATAAAATCAAATGCGATACAAGCTAACAACAATGAATCTGACTTATGCAATAACGAGAACAGCCAAAATGATAAACCATTTGGATTACAAGCTCATGATGATAGCTTATATGAAACTATGGGTAAAGCTTCTTAGAAGAGTGAGTATGTTAGATAAATAGAAATATTAAATTGATATTCAATTTACCTTATTTTAACTTATATTTTTATATTATAGTAAAGCATTCAAATCGTACAAGAGATTTTTATATATAAACCATAATTATTTTTAATTAGGAAGATATGTGAGTACATTTTTAAGAAATGAAATAAATAAAATTCTTTATATTAACCCTATTTATTATGAATTTATCAATATGATATATAAAAGTTTTTATAGTATCTCAAGCCACATACCACAAATTATATAATAAATATTTTATAAATAAATTTTAAATCAATTGCATGGTGTGTATTTGAAGCCATATTCTATATCTTCGATTGGAATTTTAATTTGGGCCACGTGATCTATTATTTATTTTTAATTTCGCATTTTATTAAACCCTATTTTTAAAAATGGCTATTTTTTTATAAAATTTTTCTTCTCAATTTTCTACACATCGTAAAAGGATAAATAATATATTTGACAAATTTCAAAACATTAAAATTAGATAAATAAAAGGTAAAAATTAATGTTTATGAAATTATTTTATATATATTTATTATTTTTGATAATTATATTTTGTAATAATCATACGTTGCTTTAAAGACACATTATGCAAATAAGGTATTTTATTTGAGTTTTATATTTTTAGAATTATGAATTGTGGTACCATACCTAATGATAGTGAAGATTCAAATTTAAGTGAATCGTCTGATGAGGAGTTTCTGTCAACCCAAAATAATGATTTAGGTATATTTAAAATGTATGCTCTTATATAATCTATAAATATCTAGATTTCAATGAGAGTGATGAATCGGAAGAGGATGAAAATATAAATAATGAAAAAGGAATCGTGAGAAAAATGATTTGGAAAAATTGCTTAACTAATTTACCATTAGTTATTCCAAAGTGGAAAGGAGAAAACCCAACGGTTGATAAAGTAAAAAAACCAATGGATTATTATAATACATATCTCAATGATTTATTACCTCTAATTGTTTACGAAACAAATTTATATGCAATTCAATGTAATTCCAACAAACCTTTGAATTTATCGATAGATGAATTAGAAAAATTTATAGGAATTATTTTTTACATGTCACTTATTAAACTTCCCAGAGCACGTCTCTACTGGGCCACCAATACAAGACAGGCCAAGGTGGCTGATGTCATGACCCTAAATCGCTGGGAACAAATCAAATCATTCATTCATATAAATGATAATGACAAATTTATTCCACTTGGAAGTGAGGGCCATGACCCACTTCATAAAATTAGACCCTTGATAACTATAACCAATAATATACTAAAATCTTTATCGATAGGGGAAAATATTTGCGTAGATGAGCAAATAATTCCATACAAAGGGATGAGCAGATTAAAGCAATATAACCCCCAAAAGCCCAAAAAATGGGGCTATAAAGTCTTTCTACTATGCGGAGATGATGGCCTTCTCCATAATTTTGAAGTATACTCTGGGAAAATACTACCAGCGGAAGGATTGCCTGATGTTGGAGCAAGTGGCAATGCTGTGCTACGTTTAATTTCTTATATACCACAGCAAATTAATTATAAATTATTTTTTGATAACTGGTTTTGTTCACCAAATTTGCAAGTCGTACTCGCTCAAAGAGGGATATTTTGCGCGGCCACGGTCAGAGGTAATCGACTACCAAATATCAACTTCCCAACAGATAAGGAGTTGAAAAAAAAGGACGAGGATTTTTTGTTTCAAAAAAAACAATAATAAACGGGGTTGAATTAAATTCAGTGAAGTGGCACGACAATCGTGCTGTGACCTTATTGAGCACTTTTGTAGGTGCACATCCTCTTATCGATTGCGAAAGATATGATAGAAAAAAAAGGATAAAATAATGATAAAATGTCCAAACATTGTTAAAGTTTATAATAAATCAATGGGAGGTGTAGATCTTATGGATTCTTTACTTTCATTATATAGAATTCATACCAAATCAAGAAAATGGTACCATCGAATTTTATTTCATGTATTCGACATGTTACTTATAAATTCTTGGTTGCTATACAAACGGGATTATAATAGTATATCAATAGCAGGCAAGGATCGATTAAGTTTGTACAATTTCAAAATTTCGGTGGCGGAAGTCCTTTGCAAATATGGCAAATGCACTTCAAACAATATTCCAAAACGAAAATCAGTTCAAACTGGTTATCGGGAAAAATGTAAAAAAGGACCAGCTCAATATTTACCACTTCAAGAGGTTAGGAAAGACCTCACGGCTCATTGGCCAAAATATAATGATAAGAAGGGTAGATGTAAAATGCCAGGATGCTTATTTATAACAAAAGTATCTTGCAAAAAATGTGGTGTATATTTATGTTTTACGCCCACAAATAATTGTTTTATAGATTTTCATGAAAATTAAAATGTTTAAACCTTTAATATTTGTTATATTTAAATAAAATTTTATATATTTATAGTTTAAAGTACAATAAAAATTATTGTGGAAATAATTGAAATTTGTATCCTTAATTGCATAATGTGTATTTAAATCCACATACCGTTCATCTTCTAAGAAATTTAGAATTTTTTTTAAAAAAGTGAGCCATGAGATTATCAATAGTATCTAGAGAAATAAAAAATCTAGTTTGCCAAAAAAAAATTATTCTAACATAGTACATGCAATACAGGGTTAAAAACTAATAAGAATATTTTCTATTATTTTAATCATGGCTAATAAATATATTGTGTTAAAAAATATATGGTATTAAATTATATTTTTTTTAAAAAAATAAGGTTTGAACGAACGTGAATTCGTTTGATTTTTGTCAATGAACGTTGAACGTGAATGCGTTCGTTTTTAGAAATGTTTACAGCACTAATAAATAATAATTTTGATCTAAGCATTTGATTATATTTATATTTTTTAAATAAATAATATATTATCATGCAAAAAACTTGTCTAGTTTATTATATTTAAAAAAATCTCAATTTTATAGAAACTATCATTAATTTTTCTTCTTTCAACAAATGTTAAGCACAATTATGTTTAATACCGCTATTAAATATAAAAGTATCAAAGCTACATCTATATAAAGCTTTATATTTTAAAAGATGATAATATTTTTTATAATGATAATAATAGTAAAACCTATTTAAGATATTTCGTTTATTTAATCTAGAATCTTCATTCTCTTGTTTAATGAGATTTAAATTACTTCTATATTTATTGAACTAACTGAAAAGAAAAATTAACATCTGTGAAGATCATAAAATCATAAGATTCAAAAATACTTGAATCGGGAAAAGAGAAACATTAATATATCCAAACCAAATTAATTTTTGATAATTTAAAATTAGACATGTAAGATTCAGCAAGTTATTTTTATTACGCTCATATCTGGTTTTTATTTATTGAAAAAACTTATCGATGAACTAGTAGGTATCAATAATACTAATTTTAGCGATTTTTTTAATTTTGCCAAAAAGTCTTTCCTAACTTTCCTAAACTATATCAAACGGGTTGAAGTAGTAAAGAAATATGAAATACGTATTAATTATTTACATAAATTTTCGAGATAATGCGTCCAGATGTTTGGCAAGACGTGATAGCATAGTTAGTTTTTAGTTCATACTTCGATTACTTTTTTAATGGCTGGCAAAATTGGCTAATGAATTTATAAGGCACTAAATACTAACGCACTATAACTTCTATATTCTACCTTCTGGCATATGCTAATTTTTACATTTTTTATTTTTCTACCATTTTTTCCCTCTATAAACCAACTACCAAAGAGAATTGGCCTACTTCACGCTTAAAGCGTGTCGTCATAGTTTTCATTATGTATATAACTCAGTTTCTTTTCGTGGTTCTCATATTTGAGTGAGGAATTGAAAATACTAGTCAGGCAATTAATATTAGCGTACACCAGATATATAGGTTTTATATTTTTCATTTTAGCACGATATCTATTTTGGCAATTTTCTATTTTCTTTAAACTATCTATAAAACGGATTAAATTATACTGAATAAATGCTTTCAGTCACTTTTTATTCTTAATGTTACGAATAATTTTTTCTTTTATACTAGTGAGGTGACTTTATGGGTAAAAGTCAAACGCTAATAAAGTTGAAAACATTGCCATATTTCTGAATTAGAGCTTGTCAGCCAACTTTAACGGAGATTAAATAAAGACTACAGAAAAATACCCAAGCGAATGCCGGGCATAACGGAATTTTTGAAAAATCCTGGCTACGCTACTGTGTACATCTATATTTTATGATATTTTTATTTTGGATTATTGTCATACTTTAGATTATTCCTTGCTTTAAATAAAAGCTTTAAATGGCTGTGTCAATTTCGATTTAAACTATGACTATTTATATTTAATTGCTCAATTCAATTCTTAGTTCGAGTTTCAACAAGGTTACTCTTTCAATCTGGACTATTTCTAAGTCAGGCGCAAGGCTCACCATATTTTAAACATCAATGATGCATGTTCAAAATCTCCATACTCGTAATGAAGTTTGAGGTCATTATTAAAAGCAGATAAATTAATCCTTAGCCTCATGTCTATGGCAGATTTCTCAAAAATACCGAGTAACCTTTTATCCGATTGCCAGACTCGAGAATAGACAGACTCCTCCTAAGATTTGCTGCATCTAGTAGGATTGTCAAATAAAAAACAGGCGTATGTTCATAAGCTTATTAACTTTTCTTTGTCCTTGATGATATCCCATGATGCAGCCATGAGCTTTAGAATTATTTAATTACACTCTTTTTTATATATTCTCGGACCTTAAGTAAACAAGTAATATTTGACATATCTAGTTATTATTTATTATTTAAGTCTATCAATAGATCCCAAATAATCTTCAATATGCATTTTGGTTTCATATAGTACCAAGAACTTTATACTTACATAAATTATATAATTCATAGCAAATACTACAAATAGTGTTATATCTATTCTATTCACCAGTTTTCAATCTAGGAAGACGTATATATTTTAATTCACATGATATATATATCTGTAATGTGTTTCAAAAGTAAGGTATATTGCAATATGTTGAGCGTTGACATATAATGACCATTTTATACCTAATGTAACAATAAATATTTAAGGAATATCATAACTTTATTTTTAATCTACTAATAATAATAATATTTAATAAAATTTTTGACCAATATTATTACAATGCAATTTTTATATTTCCATTATATATTGATTTGATTGACAAAAGACAAAAATAGAAATCAAAATTTCCTTTCCTGTCTTGAAAGACATCTTTATTTTACTTCACATGACATATTTACAACGTGTTCCACAATAGTAAAAATATGAAAAAATATATCAGTATTATAACCACTACAGAATTTCATAATACTAACTATATTTTTGATATACAATAATTATAGAAAAATTGATGAAATTCAATAGTATATTATCTGCATTTTATGGTCTGGGAGGGTCCAAATTCTGAAACCTTCTCTGTAGCAATTTACAAAATACATAATATATATTTACAGCTATTGCTATCGTTTAGCGAAGAATTACGCATCCTTATATTTCGTGCTTACTATAAATGAGGCCTATCTTTATAAGAATGCTTTCTATTATTATTCAATTATTCAGATTTCACTAAAATATTACAATTATTATGTTTCAACATCTTTTACTTTAGAAAAATATGAAATATAATTTATTATTTAATAAATAACAAATTCTTAATGAAAACAAAATACGAACAGAGGATTAATAAAATAATATTTTTTGATCAATCGAATTATGTTATATAATTTAAATTTTGCTATTATTATCTCAAAGTTTTTCTATTATTATCTCAAAACTTTTGCTATCTTATTCAAAATGGAAAATCTCCATAAAACATTTTTTTTATAACCAAAAGAGATTATTAAAACTGTCTTCGTAATCATCTTCCCTCCTTTCATCTCTTCCATCCATATCACGTAAGACTGAATTATCCACTATGTAGTCGATTGTGTCATCTCATTATAAATAAATGTGATTTATGAAAAATGAATATGATAATGTGATTTATGAAAAATGAATATGATAATGTGATTTATGAAAAATGAATATGATAATGTGATTTATGAAAATTGAATATGATTTCTATTTTTTCATCAATGTTAAATATCTCAAGATGAATTCTTCAATATAGATATTGATTACCATTTAAAAAATTGCCTTGCGATTCCCAAATCTCTTAATTAATTATAAAACTATTCTTTATGACCTTATGGTTTTAATTGCATATATTTATTATTAGTCAGATCGATTTTGATCGATACCATTCAATTATATATAGCCTAAAATCAAGTAACTTACCTTTTGAATTTCCATCATAACTATTAGAGTAAGGATATTCCTGTTTAAACTGCATTTTTTGCAAATTTTTACTAGCTTGAATTAGCACAGCTGACGATTTCCAATACCAATAAGGAGGTCCAGGACTGTAGCATTGTTTTTCTGAAATTCGTAGTTCTGCTTGTTTTGCGCCATCAAACATCTTTAATTTCATGTCCTTAGTGACGACATCGTAGTAGTACATCAAGTAAAAATTGCACATTTCATCCTGGTCAGTTGGTCTTTCCATAGGCATATATAGGAAAAATTCGAATGATATAATTAAATTTAATTATAAATACCCGATAAAAATTTCTTCCGATCTGGTATTATTCATAATACATTTGGCTGCCTACAATAAATTAAAAATATTTTTTTACTATAAATCAATTTTAATAAACAGAAAAAGTGTTTAATTTGCAGCGTCTACATAAGAAGGGAGTAGGAGTCATTTGCCTCCAACATTTTTGAGGAGGAGGGAGAGGTAATGCAAAAATCAGAGGGCTGTCGAGGTTAGATTTTTAGGCTAGCCCGGGTTTAAAGAATTTGTTATTTTCAAACCCGGCCCGTTATTTTTATGCAAAATATATTAACCCGACCCGAATTTTTATTTTTATCATTTTTGGCCCAGTTAGATATTTTTAAAATTTTATCTTGAATAATTTTCCTAGTATTTTGAAAATTTTTGAATGGGAATTGGGAAACTTTGGCTTTCAATTATTTTTTAAAATTATGCTTTTGACAAATTTTTCGGAATTGTCATATTTGTGGAAGCATAATAAATTAAGTACTATATGCCAGGAAAAGCAAACTGGTCAGATGCACTAGGGGGACCCTAGCCCCATTCATAATATTAGGATTCTCAAATAATCTAAATTGAGTCTTTTTGAGGTCGTAAGAATTTCTTTTAAATCGGAGGATTTGCTAATGTTATGAAATGAGAATGATTATTTAGATTAATAGTAAAATCTTATGTAATGACCTTATGAAAAATTTTAAATATAGATGAAATAACAAGCTATAATTTTTAGTTTATAAAATGATATATATTTTATGAATTCTCGATTACAAGTATATTTTTAGAAAACATTCTGAAGAGTTGAATAGCAATTTTTACTATTAATTTAAAGAATCTGATAAAAATTTTAAAGTTTTATTTTAGATTTTCCTTGTAATTATCCTCATAAGTGTGTAACCGCGCTATTTGATCCTCGAATAATATCTTAAAATATAAATATATTTATTTCTTTATTTTATATGCGCTAATAGCTAGTTAATGAGCATCCATCTTTGAACGCTTTCAGCGAGTCATAGAAGATCTAACAAATTGGGAAAAATATAAAGCTTTTTATTAACTTTTGCATTACCGTATTATTTCATATCAGATAAGTTAACTAAAAAGATAAAACCGTAGAATTTAATAGTATTTTTAAATTAGTCCATTAACCTATTTTGCCTCTTGTCTATTAAGACAGTAATTAATTGATACCTGAGTGTCTTCTGTTTTTTATAATATTAATCCAAATTTATCTATATCCCTAACTTTATTATACTATTTTCATATGTTCTCCTCAAGAAATATTAAATTAACATTCATTTAGAAATGATAAAGAATATTTAGAACCTACCAGGCTTATCCTTAAAAGATTTGCAGTGCTAATCGTTCGATTTTTCACCTATAGCAAATTGATTGTTCTTATCTGAGCCATAAAGACATATAGAACATTATACATCAAGGCAAAGTAGGGCAGGTCCTCTGGAAAAAGAATCTAAATACAGATACAGATTCTTTATGAAAAAATGAATCTTAGATACACATACTAGTATCTTTTTAAAATATCAAAAAGATATAAGATAAAAGATACCTGTATCTTTTGCTAAATTAGAGTATCTTAAATAAAAGATACTTTTAAATTGTCATTACAAATTAAATTAGAACAGTTTATAAAATACAGTTTTTATTATTCATTTGTGAAGAACATAACATGCTTATATAATAAGAATGAATATTTACAATAATTAATAAAATATTTAATGATGAGTTAATTATAATATAATCAGGCATTAATATTAGTATTAGCCCATTCTAAGCGTAGACAAGGAAAGGAGACTAGTATTTTTAATGGAGTTGAAAAATTAATTTGCAAAAGAGTATTTAAAATAGATTCATTATTTTGTAAGATAATCAAATTATTCAAATAATTTGTCATCAGACCTTTGTCTTTTTGGCGTACTTAACATTGTGCCAAAACTAAATAACCTTTCAATTGGAGCTGATGAAGGTATTACAGTACTATATTATTAAAAAATTTCCTTAATGGAAAGATAATATGTATTCGACTTTCTTTAATATAATTTAAAACCTCCAATTCAATGTTATTTTTACAACATTGGTTTCACCAAAAGAAAAATAATCATAATTCTTTGTTAGATGTTAAATCTATTGGTGTTATATTTTGAACTTTGTATCTATGGTATTACATTTACGGCTTCTTTTATTAATATATTTTGAAAGTATTTTTTTTATCATCCTACTCAATCCATATCAAAATATGGATGTGATATTGCCAAAACTCTTTATATTCAAATCATAGGAAAATATTTTCTTAAAATCTTTTGCCCATACCATCTTTGTCATCTTTTAATAAAGGTCCACAATATTGTAAACTTGATTTTTAAGATAACCTATGTCCTTTTTAACGACATATAAATAATAATTTGTGATGGATCTTTTATCATTTTTTTGTTTATAAAGGTTTTACATTCAGCCTCGACATCATCTTTTTTAACTTTTATTTTAAAAAAAATTTCCATCTAAAATTTTAATATTAAGATTTGATTCAGGGGTTTCCATAATTTAAATTTCACTACCTTCTACTTCACTACCATGAGTGTTAATAATCTTTCAAATTAATATTTCATAAAATTGGTAATAAAATTCTTTCGAGTTACATTTATTTTCGCTTTGGTGTTGTTATTTTTTATCTATCTATTTTAAAATTATTTGTAATTAATCCAGCTAATTTTGGTTGTCAATATATTTAAAATATGGCGGGAAAAAATAAGGAAATTTATACAAAATTCCCGAAGAAAATAAAATACATACTTGTGATATGTAAAATTTTAAACATGAGTATTAAAAAGATCTATATCTGTATCTTTTGTCAAGAAAATGAAAAACAAGATTCTTTTTAAAAAAGGATCTTAGATATAAATACTAGTATCTTATTATAAATGTCATCAAGATGTTGAGTACAAATTACAAAGGGATATTGTATCTTAGATAAAAGTCACGGTACTCCCCAACTCTGCATCAAGGCGAGATTTGATAGGAATTCACCGCTTTATAATATATGAACATCCCGTTAAATTTTGTACTGTTGCTAGAATTGGCTGATACAGGGCCTTATAATTATTCCAAATTGATTTAACAGTACGAAGACTGCTAGAAACCTATCGTGCATCTATTCAATTTTCAGCTACATGCCCAATTCATAGGCTATTTAGTCCAACGTCTTTTGAATTTTGTTAAACTGGCTAAATGAACTATATTTTATGTGAATTGAACATACTCTGATCATGATAATTATGTAGAGATATAAAAATAAATATATATATAAAAAATTATCTATATACTTTTTTCGTTTATCTTGGCCTTGTTTATTAAAATAATTTTTAAACCTTCATCTTTATATAGCACGTATACGGCTAATCACGATAAAAATTCCCCTATTTCTATTGGATACTCTCTTTTTAGGAATCAGTTAAAATAGGGAAGGGTTAGTTTGTAGAATTAAAAATGTACAAGCACGCCCCTCATTGCAGCCATGATTATTGGTTTATCATATTTTATATTAAATAATTAAATTTTAGGGGATAGCCGTATTTTCAACTTTCGATTTCAAAAGATAATATTGAAAAATTTTGCGTACCTATTCAATATATATTTCAGTATGCTAACTTATTGGATATAATGATTTTGACTTTTAAAAAAAGTGATAAAGGGAACTTTCAAAAATTCCGTTTAAGCCAGAAAAATAATTTTATGTCCCAGCTAGCACACCCATTAAACACGCTCATCGACAGTCTTACGGTGTAATATGCCGCTATCCTCAATTTTTTATCGGCGGACATTTTTAATAAACGATATAATTATAAAATAATTATACCACAATGTCATTCTTTTCGATAGTTACGTTATTTTCCACAGGGTAAAACATCTGAATAAATTAATTATGATCAAATATAAATTATGTATTTACTTGTTCTAATTGAGGGGACTTTTCACCTAATCTTATCCAGCCATTTCCGTTTTTGATAACGTAGCCTGACACCATTTTACCTGTAAAATAAAGTTCATTTTATGGTTTATCTTAGTATTTAAACCCTACCTAGCTTATGAGTATGAACGCGGTAGGCAAAGGGATGCAATTTGACACTCTCTTCTATTTTACAAGCCACTTCCATTGACTCTAAAGTATGAAATATTTAAATTCTACAACAAAGATTTTATTATATAGTACCTATAGATTTTGCAAGTATCGATCCACCTGTCATTAAAAGAAGAACTCCAGCTTGTCTTGGTAATCTATATAATTGTATTTGAAATTGAAGTAAAATATTATATTAATTTTAATTATAGGGTTTTTACACAATCGTAATAAAGGAAAAAGTCATAATTTACCCCCCCCCCTCCCCACAAAGTCATAATTTACCCCTCCCCCTTAAGTTGCCTAGACAATTTAATTTTAAAAGGTTCCTTTATTTTCTTTGAATTAACTTTCCATCCAATAATACTATATCTAGATATTCTTTAACATTCATTTATAAAGATGGAATCAAAAATTTTCTATCTTGCTCCTTCGCTTACTGAGATCTCTTTTTACTTAATATATACATAGGCGTATTCAGAATTTTTTGGGGTCAATCAACAATGTATTTTATTAATCAAAGAAAAGTATCTTTACAAAAATTTTTAATTGATTTTAATTATCCAATTTAGGATATGACAGAAGAAATGTGCATTGCCATCAATCACCCACGAGCTGCTATAAAAAGTTGAATTCCAGAAATATTGAAAATAAATTTAAATTCAGATTCATATCAATTTTTTTGAAGATATAACTCGATTCATAAATATATTAGATTATAGATATGAGGTAAATGTTACTTACATATCTATTAAATAAACTGAAAAGAATAAACAAATTGCATTTATATGGTTAAATTATAAACAAAAAAAGATACCTTAATGTATTTAGATGTAAATGATTTATTAATCTAAAAATTCTAAGTTACCGCAGATTTAGGGGTAATTTTTAGTGAAACATTTAAAATGATAATTCATGAAATCTATTTTTCTAACTAATTTTTCTGATAAAAACATTTATATGCTGTATTACGAGTAGGAAGGACCAATAAATGTAAATACGTGGAAAATTAATTATATATTTTTAAATAAAAATGCAAATGCAAATATTTATCCATAAAATAGCTGTAAAAATAAGTATTAAGGTGGTATCCTGGTTCGTTTTACTCTTATTTCTAAATAGCAGTCTATTTCAGCCATCTATATCGCTTCCTCTCAACCGCCTAAGAAGAAAGAGGCTATTTTGTTACAAATAAAAAAAAATACACTTCTAAGTTTAGTTTGTACCGAAAAAAAATATATATAATAAATACTCTTTATTTAATGTACAAACTTAAAACGAACCAAAATAGAGTATCCTAGTTCAAAATCTGTTTACCCTGGGCTAAGTAAGCAGAAATAAGTTTTAAAAATAAGACGAACCAGGACATCCTGGACCCTTTTTTTAAAGGGAAAGAGACGCTTAGAGAAAAAGTAAGTGTTTCAAAGAAACCAGAGTGAAGCCAGGAATTTGCTTTAAAGTGGGGGAGGGGGGATAATTTTTAATTCATTTTGAAGTTATTAATAATATATCTTAATATAATTTTTTGAGGAAAGTTCTCTTATAAATTATTAAATGTATATTATGGCTGAGATACTTTTCTCCTAAAACTTCGGTTTCACCGTTTTTGAAATTAGCTGAAACGGCAAAAAATGGAGCTATTATTATGAATCATATTTTAAAAAAATTTATACAAAAGAATTCTTTGAGCTAAAATGTATATAAATTTATAAATATTTATTTAAATCATCGTAATTTTTAAAATAAATATTTTTAAATCATCGTAATTTTTAAAATAAAAATTATATTTAATAAATTCAAATGCTGTAATATTCGTAAGAAATATTTCAACTAAACCTCCAAGGTATTTACAAATAAATACAGATCATCTCCTTGATTGAGTTAATTTTTAAATGATTTCATCAGTATTTGGAGATGTTGTTAAAACCTTAATTTAAACTTTTTAAATCTTTTATAAGGATTAAGACCAAATAAATATTACCTGGTCCTAGAAATTGCACTAAAACATCAAAGAAAGTTTGGCCCTCCTTATTTTCTCTTAATAAGAAAATGAGATAATGAAGCAAGTATTTTATCCGTATGTTTTTTTTATTTTTAAAAAATTAAATAATTAATAATTCTTATATTGTAGAGTTAGAAGTAATATATTCTTCAATTTATTCTTTTTCATTCCGTAAGATAGATTATTGAATTTCTAAAATTTAATTAATAAGCCAAATAATAGGCATAGATTTAAAATGATATTCTCATTAATTAAAAAATAATGACCTATCATTTTAATAAATTATATATATAATATACCTTTTTTCCAATTTTAAATGTGATTATTTAAAAAAATTTTATTTCATAAATTTTGTTATAATCTTTGATTCAGTGTCTGCAATATCATTTTATTGTGCAATACGTGATACTAATTATATTTTCAATTAGGGGAGAGTGGGGTTATTCTAACCGATTTTTACAAAATTGGCTATATCTCCTGGTCTTATTTAGATACTATAAAAAATAATATATGGTTAGATACCTAAAATTATACTCTATAAAGGTGTCTTAAAAAAAATCTTAAGAATTAAATCATTTTTTTTAAATCCTATTTTTTGTAAAAGTGAAAATTTTGTTCAACAAGCCCCAATTAAACGGGGTGAGGCAAACCACTTCAAGTTCAAGGGGCTTCTAAACCATTGGTTTTTTAGAAAAAATTTGAATGCATTTTTATTTATTAATAATGATACGAATAGAGTAATTTTATTGTTTTATTGTTCAAAATTTCATAAATCTTAATTAAAGCTAATTATATATAAAATTTGAAACTTAATTTTGGTTAATTTAAAAAATATTTTGGACATAAAAAAATATGAATTTTAAAGAGAGATTAATATTTCTTAGTATAAATCCTAAATACCAATCATAAACACCTATGAAATTGCCTTTTCAAGATTTTGAAATTTTTTTCATTATTGACTGCCAAAATTGACGTGTATGGTTTAGCAAACCCCGCTAGCTCTAAATTGACAAATCATGATTAAAATAATATCTAGATATGAATACTCATAAAACTTACCCAAATTATAGAAGAGTGTTTAAAATTGGCACTAAAATTTAATTTACATATATGATTATATATTTTAATAAAAATTATAATTCTGTCATGTAAAAATCTTTTGAAAATTTCATCAAAATTTTATTTTTTATATAAAATTTTTAATAATTAATTATTTTAAAATATATTTTGTCTATAGATGTAAACTAATGAAAACTATTTAGGATAAAATTTAAACCTTCTGGTGTATTTAATTTTAAAATAAGATTAAGTGGTTTGCCAAGCCCCGGAGTTTACCTAACCCCAGTCTCCCCTATATTATTACTTTTTAATGTGATATGCCTCTGCTGCAACAATAAATATATTTTTTATAATGTTTGTATTATTGCAGATAAAATTATATGATATTTACATAATTATTAGAATTTTAGAAAATGGCTAATAAAAATATTTTTTAAGTTTAAAAATTGATAAAAATCGACGTTCATCAAAATATTTATGGGCAAAAAATGTGGTCAAAGTATTTGTATTTAAATAGATTTGTGGGCATTTAGTATTTATATTTAAAATATATTTTTTAAACTTTTATTTATATTCAAATACTTTTTTTTAAAGTTTGTATTTATGCTCAAAACATTTTTTTAAAGCCCACCATGCCTAAAAGCCTGAAGATTCGGTAACAGTTGACAGAAGGATTTGGCACTCTTTTCGTAAATTCTAGAGAATTAAAATCGACTAAATTTAGGGTTTTAACAACACAAAAAAATGGGGATGGGATATAGAAAATTATTTTATAATATTCTTCTACTGCTCATACAATATTTGGAGATAGGCATGAGTACAAGTCAAGGTATGCGAATAACAAATTTATAAAGATCTGCTTTGACTTACAACTCATTAATCACATTTATGAAATTCATCATCAGCATTTAACCTAATTTCCTTGAGCTCCAATATAAAACTTTATGCTATTTTCATGATGAAAACTAAATCATATTTTTTTTGAAATGGCATAAAATACTTAGTAAAATTAAATCATTTTGAGATACATTTTAATGCAAAGAAAAGATTATAGAGTCTAAGGTCTTTCTCTTTTTTTCAGCCCATTCTACCATTTCACCAAGAGTAATTATAATATAAAATACGTGATTATGTGATAGTGAAAGACTCATTTTTCCTCGGTTCTTATTGATTTTTTGTCTAATAGATTTTAAAATTTTAGAAATAATGGAAAGAGATTCCCTAAAACACGGAAAATTAGGAGAATTAAGATAGAAGAATTTAGGAGAAATCTATATTGTTAGAACAATTGATTTCTTGGAGTAAGAGGTCAGAATTTTAATTAAGAAATGAGGTAATACATGACACATCCTTAACCCATCTTTTGCTGTCATGTCAAGACGTTAAAAACATCATGCCATCTGGATATTTGGCATTCTCATTTAAAACCCTATGGGATTCAAATTATTGATAAATCTTGCAAAAATTAAAGTTTTGCCGATTAACCTATCAAGCATATCAAGATTGTCTCTGCTTGCTACATGCAACAAAAGTGTCAATAGAAGGAATAAGACAACCTAGGAAATTATCAATAACGATTTAGAACTCGTCTGTCATCTACCCGAAATCGCGTCAGCCATTATGCACTCATTAATTATTTATGTGTTTCTAAGTAGTTGAAAATTAGTTAGATCAGGAAGAAAATGAGTTTTTCGAAACATTATGAAGTTATTTAAATGACTAGAAATGTAGGGGAGACCGGGGATAGTGTGTTCCCGGGGTAGGTATTTCCTTCTCAAATAATTTAAAAATTAATAAAGTTTAAGATTTGAAATTTAAGCCAAATATGTATTATAATAAGGTGCTTAAGTAGGTCCAAAATTGTTTCAGACAAAATTGCTCATGAAAAATTTTAAATGCAAATTTAAGTTTCAACATACCCAAAGTAACTTTTTTAAATTTTACATTTTCACGAATAACTTTTTTTATAAAAGTTGTTCAGACTTAATATAAATTCTAAATGATAAAAAAATCTCCATTTTATTATATATAAAAATATTGACAATCATTATATTAATTTAATATTCTAAATTTAATTTTTAAATGATCCTGTGGACC